GTCTTTGTCTAACTTATGCAAATTAGAAACTCTGATCTCTTAGTTACCCTTGAAATCGCATATTTAATTAGTTTCCCTTGACAATGGCGCCAAGATGTCGCCGAAACGTCGGATTTATGTATCGTTAGTTTTTGCCTGTATATGTTTATTATACTTCACGGTTTTAAAACCGTTTTGTGTTTTTTGTTTTGCTAAAGCTTTCCATTTACTTTTGCAGCTTTTTACAACGTTCAAGGCACTTCTAAATAAAGCAGACAAATGGGCTGAGGACGGGGAAAAGAGAAAACAGATGAAAGCATATTGCGCCAGCTTTCACTGACTCCGGCTGAACTGAATAGAACGTTTGTAGTCATATAGTGGGCTCTTAAAAACGCAGTCGGTGACTGCTTAAACTCGATCCCGCGGGGAGAAAGTTTAGGGTGGACCAGAGAAGCCCAGTTCAGACTGCAATTATTAATAATTTCAGAAAATAATAAATAAAAAAATTAATTCATTGATCTTCTTTTTGAAGACATAAATGTACTTATTTGTTAGTATCTAAACCTGTATATCAGATGTGTAAACGTTAAGTTATGAAGAGAAGTTTTACAATTATTTTTATGCCTCAAAAAATTGTTTAACTGTTTTTTAGGGCACCAGTAACCTATTTATCGAAAGAAATGTTTTTTTTTAATGTCCTCAAGTAGTGGTAATTTATGTAATGTTATGGAAATTTGTGATATTGTTATAAAAGCAGAATTTCCTGTAATAACAAGGACAACACTAGCGAGGCTATTAAAATGTTTTATGTATACTTCATAATGGTCCTGTCTGCCAATATGTGTTAATAAAGGTCTATCTTCCCTTAGCTTTATCGAGTTTCGATCTGGACAAGGAGAGCTAGATAAGTTGGAGGAAAACATCCCGTGGTCGTTGGGAGATTTGAGGTAAAAACCATTCAAGGGCTATAGTCATTGTTCCAAAGCTCTTAAAACTTTTGCCCTTTCTTGTTTACAGCACTGTAATTAATCACCCGAAAGGGAGAAAAAAACGTACCCGTGTACTGGGCTTGGACCTTTTAAGCGAATTTCACTTCAGGTCTTTTGGAAAATGATTACAAAGAGTAATGTGGGTTAATGAACTCTTGTTATAGAGGCAACACTTCAAAATAATCATGCTGTAACCAGTTTATTTTTAAAATTTGAGTAAATGTAGTCCGGAGATGACATAGTCGATAAAAGTGCGGTAAAATATACAAGTCAATGACAAAAAAGCGGCACTTTTATCGACTAGATAACCTTTAACCTTTATTTTAAAACGATGAGTATTAAAGCTACATGAGCTTGTGGGGTCGTTTGCAATTAACTAATCGCTAAGTAACTAAAAATTAAAAACTAGGGGTATTTTCAGAAAAAAACGTTTGAACTTTTGACTAAACCAGTTTATATATTTTTTCCTGGTAATCAACAACTCTATCTCCGTCATAGCAATTAAGAGCCTAATCAGAACCTGCTTAGCCTAAATTGCCAATATTTACCCCAAAATACAACCTATTTTGCTAGACTTCATGAAATGTAGGTTCTTACACGCCGGTTTTTCTGTATTTAATTTCAAAAGTTTCAGTTTCAAAGATTGTTCCTACCGTCTTTGACTGGAAATGAAGACTTTATTTCCGGTTTCATTTTCTATTTTCAATTCACTGAAATTCAAATGAAATTGAATAACCTTTTAGAAGAGCTTCGTAAGAGCGGCATGGTTGTGTGACCTGCGTACATAGTGATGACGTCCAAGTGATTCGTGGAGTGTTTGTCATGTGAGGTCAGGCTCTCAGCCTGATGTGAGGTTACCGGTTTTTGTTCAAAATATTTCAATTTTAGCCATTTGTATACAGAGGACGCAACACGACTGTACTTGTCAATACAACTTGGCGATAAAAAAAGCTGAAACACCAGAAGGGGTAAGAATCCATCTATGTGTAACATCTAGACATTTTTATTTTTGTGTTTCTGCGACTGCCTCAAAGAGGAATATATTGTACTTATACATATACGAACTTTACGCGTTGCGATTTTCGAAGCAGGTGTAGTTAAAACTTAATTGAAATGATCGACAGCATCTGATTCTGCTGGTGGATTTTTTTGGGCAAGAGCGAGTAGTCTTATGTGGCTTGGAACGTTTCTTTTAATTGAAATATATTTTAATTATTTCAAAATGAAAGAAACATCGAAACAATTGCAGTCTCAGGGGCTGCTCTCGCGTGCCTGTCACCTGACGAAGGCGTTGTCGGTCACGCAATGTCATTTGAGTGTTATAACACTTTCACGCGCATTCCATTTCAATATTAAAGGGCTGTTATTGCAGCTCTGTCAGGATAACATATCTTCAAGGATGGGATACACTTATGAAATTAGAAATGCAATACAGTATGTTGGATCCCACAATCTTTAATCCGCCTATACCTGGACTCACAAAAAATCATTTTCGGTAGATTTGGTGATATCTTTTTTCTCGTCATTGGTATAAATAAACCCAGCAATCTAGAGCAGTTTGTAATTTTTCTCACCCTGATTTTATTCTAACTGTACCTATCTCGAACTGTTGAATAACTGCTAACGGAATTTAACTAAAGTAACATGAGGTTTCAGTATTACAAGGTCCTATTTCTGAGGTGAAGAATTGGAGATGATAGTTAAATTAAGTGCCGTTCTCTATGTGCTAGGAAACTTTGTTATTTGTTACTGTTAAATTTGAGTTCGGATTTTTTTTGCAGTTATTTTCCTCAGTCAGCATATGCCCATTCAAGTGTTATTGATTTACATCGACATCAGCAGTTCACAATGCAAATGTAAAATATGAGATTGTTATAATCGGCTGTATCACTAATTAAAAAAAAAATCTATATACCAACCCTGTTATTTCTAGAACAACCTTCGCATCAAGGGCGTAGCTAGGGGGGGTCCTAGAGTGCCCGTGACTCCCCCCCCCGCTTTTGTAAGCCTTTTTTAAGAAAACAACCTACAACAGTTGGCGAAAACGCCATGGCGATATCTTGACCATTGTTGAAAAGCTCACTTTTTCCCCTCAATTTGACGCAGTATGACTCTCCCTTTGAAAAATCCTGGCTACGCCCCTGCTTCGCGTTTCCCTTGGTAGTTCGATTTTATTGATTATATTTTTTGTTTATCTTATTTATTTGAATTGATTTGATTTCATGTGATTTATTTTATTTTAACAAGGGACGATCATCATCTCTTGATTTTTTCACAACGGACGAGTTGGAACAAGACTTTTTGCAGGCTCATGTACCTTCCCTAATCTCTCGGGGTTGTCATGCACGCTTCCACGGGACATGATTAACTGCTATGTAGTGTACTGTTTCCTCAGAGTGTAACTTTTTTCCAATTTTAGATTGATCACGAGTGGTCCTGTATGATAGGGTATCGAAACAAGTTGAAGCAAGTTGACCAAAGCGAAGATCAGCTCTGACAAACAAAAATGGCTCAAACAGTGAAACTTGCACTCTCCATGCTGGGATGGCACGGTGTATTTCTGTTGTTCCTTATAGTTTCATTCAAGCTTTTTCTTGCGGAACAAGACAGTACAGTATGCCCATGCACTTGGAACGTGGCCTATAGCACCCTTATGTTTGTGATCCCCTCTTTGATTTCCTATTTGATTGCAGTTTTCGCTTATTTCCGTCAAGACGATGATAGCGCACCGTGGAAAGCTTTGAGGAGACTGTACGTTTTTAAAGGTGCTTGTCATCTCTATGATGAACGCAGAGACTGGGATTTTCATACGGAACATTGCATTTCCTGCAATCAGCTCAATCGCGATTGGAGTCTGGTCAAGATTGGCGTGTCAGCCGTTTTCTCTTTGCTGTACCCCACGGTCTGGTTGTCGCTGAGTTTTCTGCAAGCTTATTATTACGTGTGCGCTAATGTTGGTCCACCTAGTTCATCACTTACCACTTACTGCGATGTTAAAATTGACGACGTGCCGAGAGATTACGATAAAGAACATGGTCTGGCTGTTATTCGCTCCAAGGTCATTGGCGGTGTTTTATTTATAAGCGCTCTCTTCTGTCTGAGCGTGTTTGTGATCATTTACGGCGAGATAGAACATTTTTTGAAAAAGGTAGATTTCTGTTCAAGTGATAATAGTTCTAATCTGCAAGTTGACATTTCCATTCAACCGAGACGTTCATCCGGGACAATAGAATCGGCAGGTTCCCAAGGCAACCAGGTTCCCGCTGTCATAACGGTGCAGGAAGCTCCTGGGGCTAGAAGTCAAGTAAGTATTCTTAAATCGGTTTTCTCGTGGCATACTTAAAACAATTCAAGAAAAACAGTTGTACCATACGCTTTGCGAAAGCTTCGGAAACTAAGTAGGTGGGAATTTCTCGCCCGTTGCGTTCTTCTTGAAAGCTTTTTTCAGTATGTTGCTCCTTCGAAGACAGGAAGGATTTTTGAGAAACGCGTTTGAATAAAAAAATGTATGCACCTATCAATGTTAGGCCCCAGGGTAGGTGGGGGGCTATATCCACGGGAAGTTGACGAGAGGGGAGACAAGGGGGGAGATTTTGACACTAAGGTGCTACCCCCAGGGTCGGGATTTGCATTACCGCCATCTTGGAAAACCAAGAGAACGCGAAAGGGACGGCAATGCGACCTTTACTATGTCCTCAGTGGTGGAGAATTTGATTTTGGCTTTCTTGAAAATGTCAAACTCCCCTCTGTCAGCCCCTTCCACAGTGATAGGTGCATAAGAATTACTATCTTCTATTATAATCCATCAAATATTTTCGCTCGCGCGTGATTGGTCTAAACGCGTCACGTAACTAAATATTCCGCAGCTGAAACGGGGGAATATCCGAGTGATATTCTCCAATTTTCAAAACCACGCGTGTTGCAAAAAAATATATATATTTGAAGGATAATAAACACAATACCCTCCATTTGGTCCGAAAATATGCTCAGATATTTGTCCCTGGACATTATCTGTTCCTGAAAGCTCAGAGTTTTCCATGAGATGCGCTCTCGGAAAACTCTACCCTTCGCGGAACAGATAATGCACGCGGACAAATATCCGAACATATTACCGTGCCAAACGGAGGCTATTGTTTACATAGTTACTTTGGAGCATCTCGAGGGATGATGACGATGATAAAAAGCAAAGTTTAGAACCTTGATAACTTTTTCTTGCAGCAAGCGGTTGACGATAACAAGGCAATATGTGTCAATTTCAGTGATGCATTTGTTGCAGCCCTGCGAGGCAATCTACAAGATGGCACATGGCAAGGAATAGATATCCGCTGTTCACAGCAGGAGGAACACAGGAGCCTGCAAGGAACTTTCGCAACTTTTCACTCACCATCTCATTTAAGATCACAGCAACAGGCTCGGCGTGAACACACCTATGAATCACTTACAAACAACTTGATGGCGTACACAGAGTCCTCGTAGATTCAAAGTCATGGCATGGGAACACGTTTCCCCTTTTCCTAGTAATAGTAATAAAGAGCTGAGCGACCAAACAAGTTCATAAAACAGCAACACATGCAAAACAATTAACAATTATTGGAAGAGTTCAAATATCGTTGTATGTCAGTGGCTCGCAGATCAATAATTGATCTGCGAGACACTGGAAGGAGATGGGAGAGTAGTACGAGTGAATGGCATTTGTTAATGCGCGAACAAGGCGAAAATAGACCGTCCGAGGTTTGTGTCATTCGAACGAGACAAAGTTTTCAAAGTTGTCCAAGAGTCGATCATGCGATGAAAACAAGGGATCAATGCCAGATAGAACTAAAAATAAGTTTCAAGGTAGTAAACCGAAAAATAAAGGCGCGCGGCAAAACACCTCGGGTTCAAACGAGTCATGATTGATGAGACCCTTAACTAGCGAAACTTCCTCTTCTCTCTTCTTTGTGGGCCTTTTGAATTTTTTTCACCCCAAAAAGGCACAATTCTAAAACAACACATTAGCTGACGCTTTCATAATTTTTAATAGCGATGAAGACGATTGTAGATGAGAGAAAATTAAAAATCAGTTGCATGTGAAATATCTCCTGTCATATTTGTTTCGGCTCAATACCCTAAAAGGTACTGCGGAAGCTACCGCTGTGGACCTTTTGAAGCTGAACACCCTAAGATCAGAGGAAAGGTGTGGGACGCGCGGTGGCCTCATGGTTAGTGCGCTATTCTCCGGATCTAGCGGTCCGGGTTCGAGCCCTGGCTGGGGACATCGTCCGTTGTGTTCTTGGGCAAGACACCCTCACAGTGCTTTTCTCCACCCGGGTGTATAAATGGCTACCGGCGAATTTAATGCTGGGGGCAGCCCTGCGATAAACTAGCATCCCATCCCGGGGGAAGTAGAAATACTCCTAGCCGTTTCATGCTACGGAAACCGGGATAAGATCTGGCCTGATGAGACACTTGGCTCGCGTGCAGACTTTACCTTACCTTACCCTAAGAGGTAACAAAACCACTTTTTTAGCCCCTTAAAGGTATGACGAGTATCCCCGTACTTTTCATATGGGAGTATCCCCCTGGGAGAATACCTTAGGTGCGTGCAACTTGTTACTTTTATACTTTATATTCTACTATACTGACATTCTAGTTAGTAAAAGCGTGATCTAGTAATGCAATTGAAATTTTTCTCAAAAGAATCTGGTGTGAGTTCAAGTGTGATTGATAGTTTTGAATAATAAAAAATATTTTATCTCAAAACAATTTGGAGTTCGTGATTTGAATAAATACATACCTTTTTCTACTGTTATCCCTTACACTCGGAGATTTGAACCTTGGTATAAGACTGTAGAGGACATTATAGTTTGAGACCATTCGAAATGGAAGCTTTTTAGCAGTACTTTCAAGTGGTACTGTTATTTGCGCTGTGCAAGGCTGTAATAACTTTTAGGTCTGGACAAAACTCTAATGTGTGACATAATATATCAAACACGGAAGACCGTGTGTGATATAAGCCTAACCGTACAACCAAAGACGACAACCAAGGGGTTTTCCCTTGTGCATTTGCCTAATGTTCTGCTGCAAGTGCATTTTCAGGTGTTAGTATTCATTGTCATCCAAGAAAAGTTTTTTTTTTTCCCGGAAATGGAGAACAAATTATCCCAAAAGTGAGAACACGACTTGATCCAGTGCCGGGGAGGGGTGGCACGGGAGTGGTGGCTCTTTCTGAGGCGAGAGTTGAGGAGACTAAGAAGAGGGATTCCGGGGGGGGGGGGCAGGGACGAAATTGCGAACAGTTTGCAACATCAGTTACATTTCCCTGGAAGAAAGCACCAAGAAGTAAGAACCATCAGAAAGGGGCTGGAACCGGGAATAAATGGTACATAAGAAACGAGATCGAAGCTTAGACCGTGCTTTTACTGGCCTCCCACGCTGAAGCTTTCGGCTCGTCACACAATCTTGCCTCCACGAAGGAGCACGTGACGAACGATAAGAGCGNTAAAAACTAGGGGTATTTTCAGAAAAAAACGTTTGAACTTTTGACTAAACCAGTTTATATATTTTTTCCTGGTAATCAACAACTCTATCTCCGTCATAGCAATTAAGAGCCTAATCAGAACCTGCTTAGCCTAAATTGCCAATATTTACCCCAAAATACAACCTATTTTGCTAGACTTCATGAAATGTAGGTTCTTACACGCCGGTTTTTCTGTATTTAATTTCAAAAGTTTCAGTTTCAAAGATTGTTCCTACCGTCTTTGACTGGAAATGAAGACTTTATTTCCGGTTTCATTTTCTATTTTCAATTCACTGAAATTCAAATGAAATTGAATAACCTTTTAGAAGAGCTTCGTAAGAGCGGCATGGTTGTGTGACCTGCGTACATAGTGATGACGTCCAAGTGATTCGTGGAGTGTTTGTCATGTGAGGTCAGGCTCTCAGCCTGATGTGAGGTTACCGGTTTTTGTTCAAAATATTTCAATTTTAGCCATTTGTATACAGAGGACGCAACACGACTGTACTTGTCAATACAACTTGGCGATAAAAAAAGCTGAAACACCAGAAGGGGTAAGAATCCATCTATGTGTAACATCTAGACATTTTTATTTTTGTGTTTCTGCGACTGCCTCAAAGAGGAATATATTGTACTTATACATATACGAACTTTACGCGTTGCGATTTTCGAAGCAGGTGTAGTTAAAACTTAATTGAAATGATCGACAGCATCTGATTCTGCTGGTGGATTTTTTTGGGCAAGAGCGAGTAGTCTTATGTGGCTTGGAACGTTTCTTTTAATTGAAATATATTTTAATTATTTCAAAATGAAAGAAACATCGAAACAATTGCAGTCTCAGGGGCTGCTCTCGCGTGCCTGTCACCTGACGAAGGCGTTGTCGGTCACGCAATGTCATTTGAGTGTTATAACACTTTCACGCGCATTCCATTTCAATATTAAAGGGCTGTTATTGCAGCTCTGTCAGGATAACATATCTTCAAGGATGGGATACACTTATGAAATTAGAAATGCAATACAGTATGTTGGATCCCACAATCTTTAATCCGCCTATACCTGGACTCACAAAAAATCATTTTCGGTAGATTTGGTGATATCTTTTTTCTCGTCATTGGTATAAATAAACCCAGCAATCTAGAGCAGTTTGTAATTTTTCTCACCCTGATTTTATTCTAACTGTACCTATCTCGAACTGTTGAATAACTGCTAACGGAATTTAACTAAAGTAACATGAGGTTTCAGTATTACAAGGTCCTATTTCTGAGGTGAAGAATTGGAGATGATAGTTAAATTAAGTGCCGTTCTCTATGTGCTAGGAAACTTTGTTATTTGTTACTGTTAAATTTGAGTTCGGATTTTTTTTGCAGTTATTTTCCTCAGTCAGCATATGCCCATTCAAGTGTTATTGATTTACATCGACATCAGCAGTTCACAATGCAAATGTAAAATATGAGATTGTTATAATCGGCTGTATCACTAATTAAAAAAAAAATCTATATACCAACCCTGTTATTTCTAGAACAACCTTCGCATCAAGGGCGTAGCTAGGGGGGGTCCTAGAGTGCCCGTGACTCCCCCCCCCGCTTTTGTAAGCCTTTTTTAAGAAAACAACCTACAACAGTTGGCGAAAACGCCATGGCGATATCTTGACCATTGTTGAAAAGCTCACTTTTTCCCCTCAATTTGACGCAGTATGACTCTCCCTTTGAAAAATCCTGGCTACGCCCCTGCTTCGCGTTTCCCTTGGTAGTTCGATTTTATTGATTATATTTTTTGTTTATCTTATTTATTTGAATTGATTTGATTTCATGTGATTTATTTTATTTTAACAAGGGACGATCATCATCTCTTGATTTTTTCACAACGGACGAGTTGGAACAAGACTTTTTGCAGGCTCATGTACCTTCCCTAATCTCTCGGGGTTGTCATGCACGCTTCCACGGGACATGATTAACTGCTATGTAGTGTACTGTTTCCTCAGAGTGTAACTTTTTTCCAATTTTAGATTGATCACGAGTGGTCCTGTATGATAGGGTATCGAAACAAGTTGAAGCAAGTTGACCAAAGCGAAGATCAGCTCTGACAAACAAAAATGGCTCAAACAGTGAAACTTGCACTCTCCATGCTGGGATGGCACGGTGTATTTCTGTTGTTCCTTATAGTTTCATTCAAGCTTTTTCTTGCGGAACAAGACAGTACAGTATGCCCATGCACTTGGAACGTGGCCTATAGCACCCTTATGTTTGTGATCCCCTCTTTGATTTCCTATTTGATTGCAGTTTTCGCTTATTTCCGTCAAGACGATGATAGCGCACCGTGGAAAGCTTTGAGGAGACTGTACGTTTTTAAAGGTGCTTGTCATCTCTATGATGAACGCAGAGACTGGGATTTTCATACGGAACATTGCATTTCCTGCAATCAGCTCAATCGCGATTGGAGTCTGGTCAAGATTGGCGTGTCAGCCGTTTTCTCTTTGCTGTACCCCACGGTCTGGTTGTCGCTGAGTTTTCTGCAAGCTTATTATTACGTGTGCGCTAATGTTGGTCCACCTAGTTCATCACTTACCACTTACTGCGATGTTAAAATTGACGACGTGCCGAGAGATTACGATAAAGAACATGGTCTGGCTGTTATTCGCTCCAAGGTCATTGGCGGTGTTTTATTTATAAGCGCTCTCTTCTGTCTGAGCGTGTTTGTGATCATTTACGGCGAGATAGAACATTTTTTGAAAAAGGTAGATTTCTGTTCAAGTGATAATAGTTCTAATCTGCAAGTTGACATTTCCATTCAACCGAGACGTTCATCCGGGACAATAGAATCGGCAGGTTCCCAAGGCAACCAGGTTCCCGCTGTCATAACGGTGCAGGAAGCTCCTGGGGCTAGAAGTCAAGTAAGTATTCTTAAATCGGTTTTCTCGTGGCATACTTAAAACAATTCAAGAAAAACAGTTGTACCATACGCTTTGCGAAAGCTTCGGAAACTAAGTAGGTGGGAATTTCTCGCCCGTTGCGTTCTTCTTGAAAGCTTTTTTCAGTATGTTGCTCCTTCGAAGACAGGAAGGATTTTTGAGAAACGCGTTTGAATAAAAAAATGTATGCACCTATCAATGTTAGGCCCCAGGGTAGGTGGGGGGCTATATCCACGGGAAGTTGACGAGAGGGGAGACAAGGGGGGAGATTTTGACACTAAGGTGCTACCCCCAGGGTCGGGATTTGCATTACCGCCATCTTGGAAAACCAAGAGAACGCGAAAGGGACGGCAATGCGACCTTTACTATGTCCTCAGTGGTGGAGAATTTGATTTTGGCTTTCTTGAAAATGTCAAACTCCCCTCTGTCAGCCCCTTCCACAGTGATAGGTGCATAAGAATTACTATCTTCTATTATAATCCATCAAATATTTTCGCTCGCGCGTGATTGGTCTAAACGCGTCACGTAACTAAATATTCCGCAGCTGAAACGGGGGAATATCCGAGTGATATTCTCCAATTTTCAAAACCACGCGTGTTGCAAAAAAATATATATATTTGAAGGATAATAAACACAATACCCTCCATTTGGTCCGAAAATATGCTCAGATATTTGTCCCTGGACATTATCTGTTCCTGAAAGCTCAGAGTTTTCCATGAGATGCGCTCTCGGAAAACTCTACCCTTCGCGGAACAGATAATGCACGCGGACAAATATCCGAACATATTACCGTGCCAAACGGAGGCTATTGTTTACATAGTTACTTTGGAGCATCTCGAGGGATGATGACGATGATAAAAAGCAAAGTTTAGAACCTTGATAACTTTTTCTTGCAGCAAGCGGTTGACGATAACAAGGCAATATGTGTCAATTTCAGTGATGCATTTGTTGCAGCCCTGCGAGGCAATCTACAAGATGGCACATGGCAAGGAATAGATATCCGCTGTTCACAGCAGGAGGAACACAGGAGCCTGCAAGGAACTTTCGCAACTTTTCACTCACCATCTCATTTAAGATCACAGCAACAGGCTCGGCGTGAACACACCTATGAATCACTTACAAACAACTTGATGGCGTACACAGAGTCCTCGTAGATTCAAAGTCATGGCATGGGAACACGTTTCCCCTTTTCCTAGTAATAGTAATAAAGAGCTGAGCGACCAAACAAGTTCATAAAACAGCAACACATGCAAAACAATTAACAATTATTGGAAGAGTTCAAATATCGTTGTATGTCAGTGGCTCGCAGATCAATAATTGATCTGCGAGACACTGGAAGGAGATGGGAGAGTAGTACGAGTGAATGGCATTTGTTAATGCGCGAACAAGGCGAAAATAGACCGTCCGAGGTTTGTGTCATTCGAACGAGACAAAGTTTTCAAAGTTGTCCAAGAGTCGATCATGCGATGAAAACAAGGGATCAATGCCAGATAGAACTAAAAATAAGTTTCAAGGTAGTAAACCGAAAAATAAAGGCGCGCGGCAAAACACCTCGGGTTCAAACGAGTCATGATTGATGAGACCCTTAACTAGCGAAACTTCCTCTTCTCTCTTCTTTGTGGGCCTTTTGAATTTTTTTCACCCCAAAAAGGCACAATTCTAAAACAACACATTAGCTGACGCTTTCATAATTTTTAATAGCGATGAAGACGATTGTAGATGAGAGAAAATTAAAAATCAGTTGCATGTGAAATATCTCCTGTCATATTTGTTTCGGCTCAATACCCTAAAAGGTACTGCGGAAGCTACCGCTGTGGACCTTTTGAAGCTGAACACCCTAAGATCAGAGGAAAGGTGTGGGACGCGCGGTGGCCTCATGGTTAGTGCGCTATTCTCCGGATCTAGCGGTCCGGGTTCGAGCCCTGGCTGGGGACATCGTCCGTTGTGTTCTTGGGCAAGACACCCTCACAGTGCTTTTCTCCACCCGGGTGTATAAATGGCTACCGGCGAATTTAATGCTGGGGGCAGCCCTGCGATAAACTAGCATCCCATCCCGGGGGAAGTAGAAATACTCCTAGCCGTTTCATGCTACGGAAACCGGGATAAGATCTGGCCTGATGAGACACTTGGCTCGCGTGCAGACTTTACCTTACCTTACCCTAAGAGGTAACAAAACCACTTTTTTAGCCCCTTAAAGGTATGACGAGTATCCCCGTACTTTTCATATGGGAGTATCCCCCCCCCCCACCCCGACCTAATAGAGCGAGTGATGACTGGCATTTTAAGCTAGCTGTTAAGTTAAAGTGCACATAACACCAATTTTTTTTCCCGCTAAAATAACGAAGCTTAATTTTTGGAGTAATTTGCCGCAAAAATGTTTTGATTTGGTTAAATCCTCGATTTTCTATACCCCGTCAAAACCGAGTCACGGATGAAACTGCAGAAGCAGGGGCCCAGGTAGGCTTGTTCGCTTTATTGTACCGAACATTTTAATAATCTACGTTTTTATGTGCGTGTCTCTGTGGCCGACCGTTGCTAAAAAGTTAAGTCTTGCCACCAAACGTCTTCTAATACGAGTTTATGAGTAGAATTTGAACCGTTAAGCAGAGACTCTTTCTTCAGCAAGCTGTACCTGCTGAGAGTTGTGAACGATTTTACAATAAAAACATTGTTGCTATTTACGAAAAAGTTAACTCTGGTATAGCATCATACAAAAATAAACAATTAAACTGATTTAGTTCTATATTCTATAGACGCAACTGTTTTTCCATCTTGAAGGTTTGTTTGAAAGCGTTTTAGTACCGTAATATGTTTCCATTTCAGTCGACTGACAAAAACAAGTCAATCCACATCAATTTGACAGAAGAGTTCACCACCGACTTGAGAGGCTGTTTCCAAGAAGAAGGAGGAGAAGAAGGCGCATGGCAAGGAATTGATGTCCGCTGTTCTCAACAGGACGAGAACTGGAGCCGACAAGGGTCTTACGTGGCTATGTGCCCGGAGTCTGCTGGACCATTGCATCAGCGGTTTCAAGCTGACCATACTCATGACTTGGCACCCTTGGTACTGCAAGAGACCAGAGACGCAAAGGTGGTTTGATAGCACAATCTGGAGAGGCCTGGGTCAGGTCGATGTCAGTTTCAACGGAGCACAGAGCATTCATTGGACGAAGTTCGGCAAACAAGAAATTAATTATCAATTATTCTACGAGCGCGTGTTGGATATGAGCTGATAGAAAGCGCGCAGCACTGAGTTGGCTATAACCGACCATCTCATATCCAACAAGCGCGAGTGGAATAATTGTTTTATTAATAACGCGCCCCAAAAATAGTAAACTAAAATTAAATTAAATTAATAACGCCCCCCAAAAAATACGAGTTCGCTTATTATATTCGTAGAGCATGGTATAATGGCTCGTATACCATTATGGGTAAGCCAGTAAAAACTCTTCCATTGCAGTATCCAATGATCCAGTTTTTGATAATTGCTAATGTCCAAGGCATTTACTACTTATTAACCGAGAGTGAGGTCTTTACGGGAAAATCTCAAACCGTGAGCTTGCCGTATTGACCGAGCGATAGCGAGGTCAATACGGCCGAAGCCGAGGTTTGAGATTTTCCCGTAAAGACCGAACGTTCGAGGTTAATAAGTTGTTTATTATATGGCATTTTGCTTTGGTTTTGTGCGCCCGCAATCGGTCCGTGAGCATTACCGGAGAATAATTCCCTACAATTGGCCAATCAGAGCGCGCATTATATCCGCTAGAAACACAAGCCATATAATAAAATCCAATAATTCATGGCACTGCTCGCCGCTGATAACAACGTGTCGTGTGATTAGTTAGTATGTTTTGCACTTTTTTTTTTTTTACTTTTTAGCCTCTTTTAGGCTTTCGGTCAGAGGGGACGATCGAAAAAGCGTGCGGGTCAGTGGAAACGATCGAAAAAGCNTAAAAACTAGGGGTATTTTCAGAAAAAAACGTTTGAACTTTTGACTAAACCAGTTTATATATTTTTTCCTGGTAATCAACAACTCTATCTCCGTCATAGCAATTAAGAGCCTAATCAGAACCTGCTTAGCCTAAATTGCCAATATTTACCCCAAAATACAACCTATTTTGCTAGACTTCATGAAATGTAGGTTCTTACACGCCGGTTTTTCTGTATTTAATTTCAAAAGTTTCAGTTTCAAAGATTGTTCCTACCGTCTTTGACTGGAAATGAAGACTTTATTTCCGGTTTCATTTTCTATTTTCAATTCACTGAAATTCAAATGAAATTGAATAACCTTTTAGAAGAGCTTCGTAAGAGCGGCATGGTTGTGTGACCTGCGTACATAGTGATGACGTCCAAGTGATTCGTGGAGTGTTTGTCATGTGAGGTCAGGCTCTCAGCCTGATGTGAGGTTACCGGTTTTTGTTCAAAATATTTCAATTTTAGCCATTTGTATACAGAGGACGCAACACGACTGTACTTGTCAATACAACTTGGCGATAAAAAAAGCTGAAACACCAGAAGGGGTAAGAATCCATCTATGTGTAACATCTAGACATTTTTATTTTTGTGTTTCTGCGACTGCCTCAAAGAGGAATATATTGTACTTATACATATACGAACTTTACGCGTTGCGATTTTCGAAGCAGGTGTAGTTAAAACTTAATTGAAATGATCGACAGCATCTGATTCTGCTGGTGGATTTTTTTGGGCAAGAGCGAGTAGTCTTATGTGGCTTGGAACGTTTCTTTTAATTGAAATATATTTTAATTATTTCAAAATGAAAGAAACATCGAAACAATTGCAGTCTCAGGGGCTGCTCTCGCGTGCCTGTCACCTGACGAAGGCGTTGTCGGTCACGCAATGTCATTTGAGTGTTATAACACTTTCACGCGCATTCCATTTCAATATTAAAGGGCTGTTATTGCAGCTCTGTCAGGATAACATATCTTCAAGGATGGGATACACTTATGAAATTAGAAATGCAATACAGTATGTTGGATCCCACAATCTTTAATCCGCCTATACCTGGACTCACAAAAAATCATTTTCGGTAGATTTGGTGATATCTTTTTTCTCGTCATTGGTATAAATAAACCCAGCAATCTAGAGCAGTTTGTAATTTTTCTCACCCTGATTTTATTCTAACTGTACCTATCTCGAACTGTTGAATAACTGCTAACGGAATTTAACTAAAGTAACATGAGGTTTCAGTATTACAAGGTCCTATTTCTGAGGTGAAGAATTGGAGATGATAGTTAAATTAAGTGCCGTTCTCTATGTGCTAGGAAACTTTGTTATTTGTTACTGTTAAATTTGAGTTCGGATTTTTTTTGCAGTTATTTTCCTCAGTCAGCATATGCCCATTCAAGTGTTATTGATTTACATCGACATCAGCAGTTCACAATGCAAATGTAAAATATGAGATTGTTATAATCGGCTGTATCACTAATTAAAAAAAAAATCTATATACCAACCCTGTTATTTCTAGAACAACCTTCGCATCAAGGGCGTAGCTAGGGGGGGTCCTAGAGTGCCCGTGACTCCCCCCCCCGCTTTTGTAAGCCTTTTTTAAGAAAACAACCTACAACAGTTGGCGAAAACGCCATGGCGATATCTTGACCATTGTTGAAAAGCTCACTTTTTCCCCTCAATTTGACGCAGTATGACTCTCCCTTTGAAAAATCCTGGCTACGCCCCTGCTTCGCGTTTCCCTTGGTAGTTCGATTTTATTGATTATATTTTTTGTTTATCTTATTTATTTGAATTGATTTGATTTCATGTGATTTATTTTATTTTAACAAGGGACGATCATCATCTCTTGATTTTTTCACAACGGACGAGTTGGAACAAGACTTTTTGCAGGCTCATGTACCTTCCCTAATCTCTCGGGGTTGTCATGCACGCTTCCACGGGACATGATTAACTGCTATGTAGTGTACTGTTTCCTCAGAGTGTAACTTTTTTCCAATTTTAGATTGATCACGAGTGGTCCTGTATGATAGGGTATCGAAACAAGTTGAAGCAAGTTGACCAAAGCGAAGATCAGCTCTGACAAACAAAAATGGCTCAAACAGTGAAACTTGCACTCTCCATGCTGGGATGGCACGGTGTATTTCTGTTGTTCCTTATAGTTTCATTCAAGCTTTTTCTTGCGGAACAAGACAGTACAGTATGCCCATGCACTTGGAACGTGGCCTATAGCACCCTTATGTTTGTGATCCCCTCTTTGATTTCCTATTTGATTGCAGTTTTCGCTTATTTCCGTCAAGACGATGATAGCGCACCGTGGAAAGCTTTGAGGAGACTGTACGTTTTTAAAGGTGCTTGTCATCTCTATGATGAACGCAGAGACTGGGATTTTCATACGGAACATTGCATTTCCTGCAATCAGCTCAATCGCGATTGGAGTCTGGTCAAGATTGGCGTGTCAGCCGTTTTCTCTTTGCTGTACCCCACGGTCTGGTTGTCGCTGAGTTTTCTGCAAGCTTATTATTACGTGTGCGCTAATGTTGGTCCACCTAGTTCATCACTTACCACTTACTGCGATGTTAAAATTGACGACGTGCCGAGAGATTACGATAAAGAACATGGTCTGGCTGTTATTCGCTCCAAGGTCATTGGCGGTGTTTTATTTATAAGCGCTCTCTTCTGTCTGAGCGTGTTTGTGATCATTTACGGCGAGATAGAACATTTTTTGAAAAAGGTAGATTTCTGTTCAAGTGATAATAGTTCTAATCTGCAAGTTGACATTTCCATTCAACCGAGACGTTCATCCGGGACAATAGAATCGGCAGGTTCCCAAGGCAACCAGGTTCCCGCTGTCATAACGGTGCAGGAAGCTCCTGGGGCTAGAAGTCAAGTAAGTATTCTTAAATCGGTTTTCTCGTGGCATACTTAAAACAATTCAAGAAAAACAGTTGTACCATACGCTTTGCGAAAGCTTCGGAAACTAAGTAGGTGGGAATTTCTCGCCCGTTGCGTTCTTCTTGAAAGCTTTTTTCAGTATGTTGCTCCTTCGAAGACAGGAAGGATTTTTGAGAAACGCGTTTGAATAAAAAAATGTATGCACCTATCAATGTTAGGCCCCAGGGTAGGTGGGGGGCTATATCCACGGGAAGTTGACGAGAGGGGAGACAAGGGGGGAGATTTTGACACTAAGGTGCTACCCCCAGGGTCGGGATTTGCATTACCGCCATCTTGGAAAACCAAGAGAACGCGAAAGGGACGGCAATGCGACCTTTACTATGTCCTCAGTGGTGGAGAATTTGATTTTGGCTTTCTTGAAAATGTCAAACTCCCCTCTGTCAGCCCCTTCCACAGTGATAGGTGCATAAGAATTACTATCTTCTATTATAATCCATCAAATATTTTCGCTCGCGCGTGATTGGTCTAAACGCGTCACGTAACTAAATATTCCGCAGCTGAAACGGGGGAATATCCGAGTGATATTCTCCAATTTTCAAAACCACGCGTGTTGCAAAAAAATATATATATTTGAAGGATAATAAACACAATACCCTCCATTTGGTCCGAAAATATGCTCAGATATTTGTCCCTGGACATTATCTGTTCCTGAAAGCTCAGAGTTTTCCATGAGATGCGCTCTCGGAAAACTCTACCCTTCGCGGAACAGATAATGCACGCGGACAAATATCCGAACATATTACCGTGCCAAACGGAGGCTATTGTTTACATAGTTACTTTGGAGCATCTCGAGGGATGATGACGATGATAAAAAGCAAAGTTTAGAACCTTGATAACTTTTTCTTGCAGCAAGCGGTTGACGATAACAAGGCAATATGTGTCAATTTCAGTGATGCATTTGTTGCAGCCCTGCGAGGCAATCTACAAGATGGCACATGGCAAGGAATAGATATCCGCTGTTCACAGCAGGAGGAACACAGGAGCCTGCAAGGAACTTTCGCAACTTTTCACTCACCATCTCATTTAAGATCACAGCAACAGGCTCGGCGTGAACACACCTATGAATCACTTACAAACAACTTGATGGCGTACACAGAGTCCTCGTAGATTCAAAGTCATGGCATGGGAACACGTTTCCCCTTTTCCTAGTAATAGTAATAAAGAGCTGAGCGACCAAACAAGTTCATAAAACAGCAACACATGCAAAACAATTAACAATTATTGGAAGAGTTCAAATATCGTTGTATGTCAGTGGCTCGCAGATCAATAATTGATCTGCGAGACACTGGAAGGAGATGGGAGAGTAGTACGAGTGAATGGCATTTGTTAATGCGCGAACAAGGCGAAAATAGACCGTCCGAGGTTTGTGTCATTCGAACGAGACAAAGTTTTCAAAGTTGTCCAAGAGTCGATCATGCGATGAAAACAAGGGATCAATGCCAGATAGAACTAAAAATAAGTTTCAAGGTAGTAAACCGAAAAATAAAGGCGCGCGGCAAAACACCTCGGGTTCAAACGAGTCATGATTGATGAGACCCTTAACTAGCGAAACTTCCTCTTCTCTCTTCTTTGTGGGCCTTTTGAATTTTTTTCACCCCAAAAAGGCACAATTCTAAAACAACACATTAGCTGACGCTTTCATAATTTTTAATAGCGATGAAGACGATTGTAGATGAGACAAAATTAAAAATCAATTGCATGTGAAATATCTCCTGTCATATTTTTTTTCGGCTCAATACCCTAAAAGGCACTGCGGAAGCAACCGCTGTGGATCTTTTGAGGCTGAACACCCTAAGAGCAGAGGTGTGGGAAGCGCGGTGGCCTCGTGGTTAGTGCGCTATTCTCCGGATCTAGCGGTCCGAGTCCGAGCCCTGGCTGGGGACATTGTGTTGTGTTCTTGGGCAAGACACTTTATTGTCAGTGCCTCTCTCAGCCCGGTTGTATAAATGGCTACCGGCGAACTTAATGCTGGGGGCAACCCTGCGATAAACTAGCATCCCATCCCGGGGGAAGTAGAAATACTCCTAGCCGTTTCATGCTACGGAAACCGGGATAAGATCTGGCCTGATGAGACACTTGGCTCGCGTGCAGACTTTACCTTACCTTACCCTAAGAGGTAACAAAACCACTTTTTTAGCCCCTTAAAGGTATGACGAGTATCCCCGTACTTTTCATATGGGAGTATCCCCCTGGGAGAATACCTTAGGTGCGTGCAACTTGTTACTTTTATACTTTATATTCTACTATACTGACATTCTAGTTAGTAAAAGCGTGATCTAGTAATGCAATTGAAATTTTTCTCAAAAGAATCTGGTGTGAGTTCAAGTGTGATTGATAGTTTTGAATAATAAAAAATATTTTATCTCAAAACAATTTGGAGTTCGTGATTTGAATAAATACATACCTTTTTCTACTGTTATCCCTTACACTCGGAGATTTGAACCTTGGTATAAGACTGTAGAGGACATTATAGTTTGAGACCATTCGAAATGGAAGCTTTTTAGCAGTACTTTCAAGTGGTACTGTTATTTGCGCTGTGCAAGGCTGTAATAACTTTTAGGTCTGGACAAAACTCTAATGTGTGACATAATATATCAAACACGGAAGACCGTGTGTGATATAAGCCTAACCGTACAACCAAAGACGACAACCAAGGGGTTTTCCCTTGTGCATTTGCCTAATGTTCTGCTGCAAGTGCATTTTCAGGTGTTAGTATTCATTGTCATCCAAGAAAAGTTTTTTTTTTTCCCGGAAATGGAGAACAAATTATCCCAAAAGTGAGAACACGACTTGATCCAGTGCCGGGGAGGGGTGGCACGGGAGTGGTGGCTCTTTCTGAGGCGAGAGTTGAGGAGACTAAGAAGAGGGATTCCGGGGGGGGGGGGCAGGGACGAAATTGCGAACAGTTTGCAACATCAGTTACATTTCCCTGGAAGAAAGCACCAAGAAGTAAGAACCATCAGAAAGGGGCTGGAACCGGGAATAAATGGTACATAAGAAACGAGATCGAAGCTTAGACCGTGCTTTTACTGGCCTCCCACGCTGAAGCTTTCGGCTCGTCACACAATCTTGCCTCCACGAAGGAGCACGTGACGAACGATAAGAGCGTCAAGGGTCAGTGATTCCTTCTTAGCCAAACAAAACTCTGGAGATACATTTTGCAATGCTTCAGTTTTTATTTAAAAAAAAATAACAGCTACAAATAGTAAATCAACCAAGGATAGTCATGAACAAAGTGTCTTGTACTTCTCATCCATTCCTTTGATTCCTGCCCCATCAGAGAGCCACAAGACCAGTTCTTGAACAGGACAAAGTTCACCTTTGACCAACGCGTCACCACAAAATTTCATTTTACTAGTGACCACTTTACCATTGACAAGAACTCGGAAATAAAAGTTGTCTACAGAACCTGACTGCTTTGAAGAGTCTAAAAGAGTATCTCTCCAGAGTTCAAAAACCACACGTGTGGCATAAGGAGTCCATCTTGTCCGATCATGAACTCCAAGGTTTATTAAGAGTGGCGTGACAGTGCTATCGTGACCACTGTACAGTACAAACTTGAGAGAAGATTTGTGCTGAGGCTTGTTGACCATTCTCTTGGCTATTTGTATCAGCATTGGATGAGAAGCGACATCAGCTATGCCAGTGAAATTCTCAGCAAATGCCCAGGTTGCATGATGCATTGCCTTGGCTGCCATTTGTTCTGACACACAGCCTCCAGGTCCACATGGCAGGGGATAGTTGTAACAGAGACGAGTGTAAATGGCATCAGCCAAACTGAAAGAATAAATGTATTGACTCCAAATTTAGCCAAAAGTATTCGACTTCATAAAGTGCGGCCNTAGCCTCTTTTAGGCTTTCGGTCAGAGGGGACGATCGAAAAAGCGTGCGGGTCAGTGGAAACGATCGAAAAAGCGTGCAGGCGACGAGCGGGATCAGAGAGGAACAGAACCGAGAGCCTGGACCAGGCTATTTATAATTTCAAATAAATACCTAGCTCTAAGGTTCAGGGTGGTACCGGTCTCAAGGTTAATTGAAGAACTGTTTACTGGAGCTATAGAGCACCTGTTAACAATAAAACCTGCTGTACTCAGCGAACGAGGACTTCAATATCCTTCAATATGTTTTTTCAGACGGGAGGAGGGTTGTAAGACTGGAAGTAGAAATTTGTTGTTTGGACACTCAGAGTGCACACTAGTATTCCTTTTAGTTTAGCACCCGACACGCTTTGCAATGCATGGCACGGATCGGAGCTAAGAAAATCAAGTTTTTATTTACATCAAGTACAGTACAGATCAATTAGCATAAAGTTAGATGACTTGTAACACTGAGATAGAATGCCTGTAGATAAACCGAAAAGTGTGTTCTATTCAAAAAGGTTTCTTAAAATCTGTACTACAAATGGTTGCAAATTTGAAAATATATACAAGTACAGTGGAACCACCTCGTTATTACAGCCACTTTATTCTGGCCCAAACAAAAGCTCAGTCAGTCATTTTAAAAAAAAACCCTTTAATACGGCCAGATTTTTGTGGTCCGTTGCATGTTGACCGAATTAACGGGGTTCCACTGTAGTTCTCTTTATAAAAGAAAAATACATTGCAGGTCATTTTGTTTCTCACTTCTAGCAAGAAAAGTAGTGTAAGTGATTCATTGTGATATAAATAGACATCGTTGACGATGCACGTGTGGTAAGTTATATCCATGCATACAAAATTAAATGGATCTCTCTAAATCCCAGATGAAATGGACTCCGACGAGAATTGGTATATCGCCGGGGAGTCAGTGCTAAGATGTCAGCTCAGTTTCCGAAATAACTCCTCTTGAAACGAAATTGGTGACTACCTGGAGAAAGATTCAATCCCGGCTTAAATTCTACTCGAACTTCCAGTTCGCTTTCCTCCGGCATCCACAGTCTCGGAGAGTGACTGTCGTCTCGCATACGTGATTTATTTCTTCTCTATGCATTATCGTAAATTTGGAACTGGGTGTCTTCTTCAAGTGTTGTATCTAGGCCGGAGGAAAGCGAACGACTTGTTATAAGCAAGGACGGCTGTCAGGAGGAGCTGCTTATACGGAAGTCCCTGGTTGATCTGCAGTGCTTTCTGGGATTGGAACAGGAGGAACGCAGCTGACACCTTCAAAAAATTAAAGACAAAACTGCCAGTTAAAAATCGCGCAAAGTAATAAATTGTAGATCTGTGATTGTGACAACGTACATGTAACCGAATGGCATGAAATATCACATTCTCGTAAAAACCGCTCAACCAGTCAGGAAACTCAAGAAGCCATGATAACAGAATCTGAAGCAATACTAACGTTCACCAATATAAATAACAAGCCGTCAACCGTAATTTGACATACCTGCTTTTGATAATTCCTCCAACGCTTCTGTACAACCTGTCTGTAGTAAGGCGTCGCACAGTTTTTTGGTTGTAGCTGTTTGAGGGCCACAACTTTCCATCCACTTTCGAAGTCCTTGATAACACTTTTCGCCAACTGTCTCGTTTTGGTAATCCTTATCTACATTTTCGATAGTCGGCACTTCTGCTACGCCCAGATTTCGTAACAGTTTCTTCCACCTCCCTCCAACAAGCGGGCTTATGCAGTTACAATGACTTTGTGTAACTGGTTCGTCATCGCTGCCTAACGACGAGAAACACTGGTTGGAAATTTGGCTGGCTAGGAAATCTGTAAGGAACAGTAAAACCATTTAGAAAATAGCTCAAAGAAAATACGCGCGCTGATTGCTTTAAAATCGTGTTTCTATTAAACAGTTAGATTATGAGCTCGAAATTTTTATCGTGTGATAGTTGACAAAAAAAAAAGAAAACTTTATCCAAATCCACTTCACAGACATCTTTTATGGGAACTTGTTACTATGGCAAAAGTGTGTTGGTCGGTGTTAATCACCGTCATAAAACAACCCGAGTGATTGAATGAAATTTCACTCAACATGTATTTCTCTTGTCAGTACAAATACTGATATCAAACGATCATAGGAAACGAAGCAACTTCTCGATCTGCAGGAATAAACTTTTCGCGCCGAAGAACGAGGTAAAACAAGTCTCACGTATATTTTCACGAATTCATTTGCACACCTGGGGATGGCTTGTCGTTCTGGTCGACGATACTCTCGTTTTCCTCTGGCACAACAGAGATCCGCGAGCCTGCTGTAGTAGTGTGGTGGGAAGGTGCGTTACTTCCACTGCTTTCTACTGAAAATCGACGGGTCTGCTGCAGATTGGAATGCGCGGAAAAAACAATCAGTTGATAAAGCTATTATCCCCATACTCGGACTTCAGTATTCTATTTGTCTGAGCTATTGGCTAGGTCAAGTTAAGTCATCTTTATTTTTGCAGGGTGTGGTCCTTTTTAACACTAGGCTAGTATCAATATGGAGCTTGAGGAAAAACACTCTACACAGTACGGTTGAACTTTGACTGCTTTATGACTGTCTTACGGCTATAACACAACTGTGCCGACAACTGCCCTACGACTGCAGTTTGATTGCTTACAATTGTCTTATAACTACTATACGACTCCAGTACGACTGTCTTACGACTACTATACGACTCAGGTGCGACTACAATTCGATTGCTCATGATTGTCTTATAATTACTATACGACTCCAGTACGACTGTCTTACGACTACTATACGACTCAAGTGCGATTGCAGTTCGATTGCTCATGATTGTCTTATAACTACTATACGACTCCAGCACGACTGTCTTACGACTACTTACAATTACTGTTCGGCTGCGTCACGACTTTGCTACGACTACAATACGATTGCATTGCGATAGCCTTATCTACAGCGCGACCCATCAAGATAAAATGTGGTTTTTATAGTTGTCAATGCGCTTAGCTACTCCTAGCTAGTTCACAGGCATGCCACTTAAACTGAAAGAAACAAATATATCGACTTAGCATAATAGGCCAGTTGGCTATTGACAAGCATGACCGAGGAGTTGAACTAGGGTCTACCGAGAAACAACCCCAGCTTAGTGGTCAGAGCGGGACTTGAACCCGAGACCTCCGGATTTCAAGCCCGGCGCTCTATCCACTCGGCCACGCTGCCTCCTCCTGCCTCCGTGCTACCGACTAAGGTATGCCTGGGTTACGACTGTCTAATGACTGCGCTTCAACTGTTTTACGGCTATGTTATCACCGCGTTACAACTGTCTTACAAATAACTGTACGACTTCGCTTTGTTTAGGTTATATATGCTTAAGACATGACTGCGCATGCATTTCGACTACGGTAACGCTGTCCATGTTCTTTACGGTACATGTACCTTTCTTGGTGTAAATCCTGGATTGAGATAGATACTGTGTTTCGTGGGATGCCCCTCCTGCTGAAATATCAAATTGCACGAGAATTCCTCCTCAGTTGGACGACATGGTTTCACTGCAAACTCGCACGGGGTGTAAGTACGGAATCCGTTATGATAGGCCGCCTCGTATGGGTATGTCTGTAAGAGATATTCAACGAGTTAATAGTTTTGAGAAACAGAAACAACTCGAGGGAACATTCGGCAAAACACAGATCAGTATAAGGTAAGTATTGATAAATTTACCTCGAAATCGTTTATGAACAATTTAAAAAAATTTCGTAATCTTTTCCAAGCAATGTTCATTGATTTGTTTAAGAATTCTTGTCTTGAAATTCCATTCAAAATACTGTTTTGCTGAACTAGCGACATTCCTCAAAAGTAAGTGGTTGTCAGATGAAAAATTCATTGATGTCGACAACTTTTGACGGGGCCCGTCTGCCCAAGATTCTTAATACTTTTGTGATTATAGTAATTAATTATTCCATCGATTAATTAATCAACTCATTAAGTAAACTTTACCTTTGTTTCGGGAGTCTTATCCATTTCCCATCCTTCCGGAAGATCAGTGAGTCCCACTATGATATCCTTGGTGTCATTGTACATTTTAAACGGCATCTCAATCGTCTGCTTCGAAGTAGGAAACAACTTTCTGTCTTTTGACTGTAATCGCTTATTAACAAGAAATGCACAAGAAAAGTGTTAAAAAACTGTCCAATATTGCAATGTTTCAGTTCAAATATATGAAGATGGCGGAATTAACTCATGCGCATTACACGTTTTAGCAAGTGAAAAAACAACATTCGAAAATCAGCTAGTGTTACTTCTTCATTCTGAAAGCAACATGGGGTTTAAATTATGCAGCGTCCAGAATTCGTCGGAGAAATTTGAAAACACAGCTTTATTTCTACAGTTAGGCCTACCGTCCATACTAATCCGTCACGAAAAGGGAGCTTTTCAAAAACGCCCTTTAACCGGAGGAATTTGAAAACGCCAGCTATTCGTTTTCGTGTGGACGGAAAACAGTTTAAAAACGGAGTTTTTCGAAAGCGATGGCGTCACGATAATCAAGTGATTTCCCTGACAGAGTTTTCCTCAAACACAAATCCAATATGAACGGTGATTGTTTCGTTTTCAAATTCTTCCAGCGTAGTGTACTTTAGTTACTTTTCAAATACTTCAAGGGAATGTTGTTACCTTCTTGGAATCCTCATTGTCACTGTAGATGTAGAATCTGAAGCAAATGGTATCCAATTCTTCATTCGGTTTGTTCGCAAAAACCGTGGCTCTTTTTCTCTTGGGCCCACCTCCACCACAGATAAATATACTCCAGAAAGAAAAGGTCTTGGTTTTGATGTGAACGGAGTCCTTTTTCACAGTGTACCAGGCCTTAGATTGACAGTTTTTCTCTGATGCTGAGGGGACTTTCTCCCACTTGAACGGACCTGTAAGGAAAAAAGATATTTGTAGAACTGTAGAGAAAACGTCTATTATGCGGGATTATGCAGTCACTTGATACAAAAATCGGTTTACGCAAAGGATTTGACAGATATCCCGGAAAAGGAATAGACCTATCCAACGCAACTGACGGGATTTCCCGCGAGTGCTTCCGGCGTTCCAGCGGGCAAAGTACTCGGGCGCGAAATCTCGTCAAGCTACGCATGCGTTACGTAACTCGACTCCAGTTTTCTAGAGCTAGTGCTAATGACCTTTATTTGAGCGCCAGTTGAGGCTTAGTCGATTTATAAGAACTTACAGTGCCTTCGCAAGCGCTGGTTAGCAGTTCTTATCTACCTAATCACGACAGATACAAGTATGTAGAAAGCTCTTTAGCAGATAACTGTACTATTCAGTGGGGCCCATTCCTGCGACGTTGTTTTTTTTCCAATGGAAAAGCAAAAAGAAAAAAAAAAAAAACCAAACCAAAACAAAACAAAACAAAACAGAAACAAAACAAAAACGTACACGTTACAGTTTCACCCTGCTACTCAAATGTCCACACACAGCCTACGTCTCGTTCAGAAATAAAATTTTAGTCGTAGCGCCCCCGTCAACCAAGCGATACATAAAGTCTTGTTAAATAATTAACTGCCTTTAGAGAAATACTGAGAACAAATGATGGTGCTATTACCGTCATCAGAATAGCTGCCACATCTGTAAACAGATATTGAGTCCTTTCTAACTTCGTCTAAGTACAGGCAGTGTGGAACAATAATTTCCACCGGCTTTAGAACGTTAATGTTGTCGGGTCCACAATAAAACAATGGGGAGATGAGAGTCCTATCGTGACTTTCCGGAATATCCCGCAGCAAGGATGTTTCGTCATAGACAACACGGAAGGAGAAAGGCTGGTTAATTCCCTCGGGTACAGCTCCACTATCAACGATGATGCTGATATTTGAGTCTGGGGACGATAACTTTCCACCCGTGCTGTTGATAGTGGTCTCTGCATGGGTGATGTACTTTAGGCCGGATCTACGAGGAGGCAGACACGAGATACGTTAAGTGTCATGTGATATTGTGTGACATGACAGTGTCACGTCACATTATGTCATGTCATTTATTTAACACAGCGGTGACTTAAAAGAGGTATACTGCTGCCTTTTACGTGATTCCTTCACCCAGAATGGGGAATAAGGCCTGAAGCTCTAATCTAGTCTGACTTAAACGTACAGAACGTGAAAACTTTATGATTCCAATTTAAGAGACGTCCCGGGGGGTACTCTGTAAATCTTTGGGTGGGGTGATGACCGCTGGGTCACTGAAGCCCTCACCCTGTACTAGACCATGATCAGTTTGATTTTGCAACCCTATTCTAGACCAGGCACCAAAAACCCCTACCCTATACCAGACTAGCTATTTGACATGCAGAACCTTTATCACTATCGTAGTCCAACATACCCTATAAACTAAACCTCTATCATTCAAAGTCACATCTGTTTATGAGAAGTTCTCACTCCTGAGTTTCAATTTCTTTTATGCAATTCAACCCCGGGTAAAGACCCCTGTTCTAGACTAAATTATTTATACACTGGCCACTTTTCTGGTAAATTTTACCCTATTTGAGACCAAAACTGTCTGATTTCTATGCCCTATCCCAGACTAAACCGCTTGAAAACCATCCCCTTCACGGCGGCACAAACGCGTATAGCTTATATATGGGAGTACGTAACCGGTCGGCAGAGACGTACCGTGTAGTACTGTCGACTGGTTGCCTTATGTTAAACAAATTAAACACTGAATCACGGTGAACATCTGCGGCCACAACCGTGCGTTCAGAAGGAAGGTAGGTGTGTTGAGTTACAGTGTTAGAGCTCGGAGGAGACTCGTTTGATTCATGCTCGATAGTTACTGTCACAGGGATTCCATGATTCACAGGGTTCCCCATCAGATTCTGCTAAAACAAAAACCAACAAACAAAAAACCCATTTGACTAACGTGGAATAATGGAACTTAACTAATTAATAAATGACATGGGACCCGAACTTTCAATCGTCAAACCACGTCTTCTTCTAATCATTTTTCTCTGGGTATGATCGCAGTCTCTTGTCTATGACAACTAGCATGCTGGCAGCCGACAAAACTGTTATTACTTTTTAGATTTTTACTTCATTTTGATCCACATTAATTTCTTAATTTTCTTAACTTTGGGTGTTAACATTTCACTGATGTATTTTTACATTACGAAAACAGGTATACATAATTCAGACCACAGCATTCATATTTGTCCCTAGCCACTGAATTCTAAAGCTAGACTGTACTCTCTTAATGTCTTTTCTTTAGCTTCATCTCCTGCTTCATTGATATTACCAGAAAATTGTTAGATTAAGAGTGCGTTCCTTTGGGAATATCCAGGTCAGGATCAATGATTTAAATCATTCGGATCAGTGCATAGAATAAACCTTGCCCAGAATGGATTCATCAGTTCCTACCTGATCTTGGATCATTGATCCTGATACAAATCATCTTAAAGTAACGCACGTTCTGGCTAAGTTCTTTTATTTAAGGGTCAAGGATAGGAGAGAAGAGACTGTCATGGACAATTAAAGCAAAGAGCAAGTAGTGGGAGTTCAGTAACCGTCACTGAATAGAAAATCACCTGTTCCGCATTAGATGCCGCAATACTTGACACGGAGGTGCCATCGCAACAATCTGATGATGCTGGACAACGAGGGCGCTGAAGACATTTGAAGAAGCATCCTGAACGAGAAGAGCGATGTTAATAAAAATATATATATATTTCTCAGAAGAAAGGACCACAAGATTCTGGCTTCGTTTTAATTATGCGCACGCGTTTAAGTACAATGACGGTTTTGATACATGCCCATGAGAGAGAGAGAGCAACGGCTGTGTCTAATGCGGGCTTATCTTCCG